TCATCGAAACAATAGTTCCATGTTGTCATAGACTTGATACACGATATCAAGTTAGAGTAAACAACATCCATCATGTTGCGACTGGTTTTTTAAATCAAGAGTCGCCATTATTAGTTTTTATCCTAGGGAAGGGAACCTAACAGAAAACCCTAATTCGCGGACAAAGATTCTAGGTTACGGACTCAATTAGACGAAATGAAGGTGTTAGGCACCTTTCATCCACCTTGTTCACAAGGATATTAAGCTCTGGATTTAGGTTTGAGATAAACAGGGTTTTAAGTTTTAATTAGCAAGACTTGCCACGATTTTAGATCGCGTGCCTACGTATCCTCTTATGAGGAATCAGAGTCCCAATTCGTAGTTCGTATGGATTGGTGTCTTTTAGAGGGTTTGTAAACATATCTTGAATCACTTTCCACTCGGTCGGAAGTAGTGATTGCGGAGATTTTGACTGAGTGCGCAGTAAGCCAAAATCGGTTTGAAACCCTATTTGCAAAAAAGACTGTTGATTAGCTTAGTTTTATTGCCAAAAATAATTTGAGATTTGTTTGTGTTTTTTAATTATATTAGTTACGAAAATCTTGATTAATGCATGATAAAAAAAATTTTAATATAAATATTATATGAATTTTTTGAATGAAAATGATTTATTTGTTAACATAAATAATAATTTACATATAATAAATAATATAAATAATAAATATTACAAAAGAAATAAATAATTATAATAATATAAAATAAAAAATATTAATAATAATCACATAAAAATTAATAATAATAATAATCATGAACTAATAGAAAAAAAATATAGAAACTAATGGTTAAACAGGGGGTGCAGTAGTAATAGAGATAATGTCATAAGAGAAAAGAGGCTTAGGTTCCAATTAGAGTAAAGCCTTATAATAAGTAATTAAAAGTATATACTAAGAATGATAAAAAACAAAACACCAGAGGGCCATTCGACCGCCCGATTTCGTCCATCATTTTCTCAATAGATGTTCTTTTTTCTTGGACTTATTTAGCAAACACCAATAGCAAGTTGACACTTATTAAAATAAAACAAAGACACGGCATATTAAAAGAAATCGAAACTAAGAGCATAAATATCGCTGTGGCTTATGTCTATGTGTACTACTGTAGTCAGAGTAGTATTGATAATAGAAGATAAATGATAGTAGTATTAATTGGCACCGTATCCAAAAAAGGGATCGTAGCTTTTAATAAATATATTATTTTGTAGCATGTATAGCTGTTGGATTAAATTTTCAAATAACATGTTACCGTCCAAAAAACATAATGTAATTTTGTGGGACCCATGTTAGAGTTTTAAGTAAGTAGTATGGATATTTAGAAAATATAATTAAGTGGTTTAAATAATTGAGAAGTGTAAAGTAATATATTATATTAGATGAGACTCACTTATACTATTAATATGAGTAGTATGGATGTGAATGCTCTAAGAGTAACTCCAACTGGAGTATTTCAAATTGTCCTTCAGCCTGACAAACAATAATTTCAATTCAAATACCGTTGGAGTTGATTACGGTGGAATACTGTGCAAGTGCATTCTAACGGTCTTTCAAATAAAATATTAATTAAAAAATAGTTGTTTTTTTGTTTCAACGGCTAACTTCATTTTTTTTAGAACTTTAGCTTATTATAAATACCTCTATTTGAAAAATTTTACACACAAAATTTCTCTCATATTTTTATTTGCTCATAAATTTTGAATTTCTTTCTCACAATTTCATCACTTTGGTCTTCATTTTTAATTTTTCTCTCTTACAATTTATTCTCATTAGCCTTCATTTGACAATATATTTTACCCAAATTTTTACCTTTTTACTTCAAAATTAATATTGTTTAGGTCAAATGGATCCTAATCAATTTAATTATCAACAATCTATGTTCAATTTCATACAAAATTTTTAAAATCCTAATCCTCAAAATTCTCAATTCCCATCGATGCCAACAAACTCCGCCGCTTTTTTTTCGTCATCAACCGAAAACACTCTGCCGCATTTTTTCCGTCACCAAACTCCACCATATGGTCAACCATCTATGAAATTTTTTCGTCATGAACCGGAAACACCGATTGTGTCTATGTCCGAAAGTCAAGTTCCACCATTTTCAACTCAAGTCGGTATTGAAAAAGAAGAAAGTCGCCCTGTTAAAAAAAAAGCTCGAGAGGTATTTTCAAGGGATGAAGATATACTTCTTATCCAATCATAGCTCAATGTTTCAAAGGACTCAATTGTGGGAGTTGATCAAAAAGCTGAGAGTTTTTGGTTAAGAATCACTACCAATTATAACGAGTATCGTGGACAGTCGCGGGAAAAGCTACGTGGGCAATTAAAATCTCGATGGCATCGAATAAATGGCTTGGTTCAAAAATTTGTTGGGTGTTACAAACAAGCTGTTAATAGAAAGAAAAGTGGGACTTCGGAGAAAGATATCTTGGCTACTGCATATGCATTTTTTGCTCAAGATGAAGGTACACCATTCAATCTTGAGTACGCATGGCGATTATTAAAGGATGAACCTAAATGGATGGGAGCAACGACCGAAAATTCTTCAAAAAGAACAAAGAATTCTGCTAGTGGGGCACACTCATCATCGTCTAACCTCGCGACACCTTCAAGTTATGAGTTTAACTCATCATCACCAATGGAGCGTCCAATGGGACAACAAGCAGCAAAAAAAAAGAGTAAGGCAAAGGAAAATGCATCTGAATCACCTTCTAATGTTGTGCAAGAAACATGGAATAAAAGAGTAGCGGCAATGGAAAGACTAGCTCAATGTAAGGAGGACGAGATGGAGTATAAGGCAATGCAATTACTCTCGAAAGACACTTCTATGATGAATGATAGTCAACGAGATATTCATGAAAAATATTGTAATAAGTTGAAAAAAAATATGGATTTTAGTTATGATGAAAAGATGTAGTACTTATTATGTATCAACACCTATGTAAAATGGTCATTAGTACCAATTTAATTTATAATAAATATTATGTTGTTATTCAAACTAGCCGTTATTCAAACTAGCCGTTATTCATATATCACTATATAAATGACCACTCTTCTCATTATTTTCTCATTCTTCTCTCAATCTTCTCTCATTCTTCTCTCTTTTTTCTCTCATTCTTCTTTCATTCTTCACTCACTTTAATGGATTCAGACAGTTCAGATGATCTCTTTTGGGACTTGATTGAAGAAGAATTTATGGACAACACTGATGAAGAACTACTAAAGTCAATGCTCGAGAAGGAACATCAATCTGGAAGTACCTCTAGGCCAAAGAGAAGAATAGTGATAGATCGAAATCGTGAAGAAGGGCACAATCGTTTATTCAATGACTACTTCTTGAAAAATCCAGTATACACAGATGTTCAATTCCGAAGAAGGTTTAGAATGCATAGGCATGTGTTTCTTCGAATTGTAGCCGCCCTTGAAAATCATGATGAATATTTCCGAATGAGGGTCGATGCAACTGGTAAAATGAGTCTTTCACCATTGCAGAAATGCACATCTGCTATTCGTATGTTGGCATATAGGTCTCCTGCTGACAGTGTAGACGAATATGTTCGAATCGATGAAAGCACTTCAGTTGAGTTCTTAGAAAGATTCGTTCGGGGCGTGAATGTTGTATTTGGAGCAGAGTATTTGAGAAAGCCTAACAACAGAGATGTTGCACATCTCTTACAAATGGGAGAGTCATGTGACTTTCCAGGTATGTTGGGTTCCATTGATTGTATGCACTGAGAATGGAAAAATTGTCCTGTTGCATGGAAAGGACAATTTTGCCGAGGTGATCATGGTAAGCCCATAATCATGCTTGAAGCAGTGGCATCACAAGACTTAAGGATTTGGCATGCATTTTTTGGTATTGCAGGTTCAAACAATGACATTAATGTGTTAAACCAATCCAGTGTGTTTAACGATATTTTGGAAGGACATGCTCTCACTATGAACTATACAATCAATGGAACATCATATAATATGGGGTATTATTTAGCGGATGGTATATATCCTGAGTGGGCTACATTTGTCAAGACTATTTCAATGCCGCAGGGAGAAAAGAGAAAACTATTTGCTCAACATCAAGAATCAGCTAGAAAGGATGTGGAGCGGGCATTTGGAGTGCTCCAATCTCGATTTGCAATTATACGTGGCCCAACACATGCCTGGCATATGGAAACCCTCAAGCATACCATATATGCTTGCATCATATTGCACAACATGATTGTTGAAGACGAACGCCACACATATGGAGGTGATTTTGATTACTCTTATGATAATGTATATGACACCTACTCAACAACTGAAACATTTAACGGTCCTCATCCGAATCTTGCAACAAAACTACAAAGAAGAGAAAGTCTTCGTGAAAAACAAGTTCATCGCCAACTTCAAGGAGATCTAGTTGAGCATATTTGGGAACCTTTTGGACATGAGAATTATGAAAATTAAATTTGAGTAATTCTGTTATATTATTTATTTTTAATGTTTTTAATTATATGTCATGTATTTGAGATTAATTTTAATTATCATTTTAAAATTTATATTTAATTTTAATTTGATTTATTTTATATTAATTTAAATTTAAATAATTATTTTAAATCAAATAAAATTTAATATGAATAAAATATTAATATATAAAGTAAAGATGTGAGACTTAATTTGAGTTCTTTAGAGTAGTACCACTGGAGTGAAAATTGAATGAGTTGCTTCAAGATGATGTGCCTTAATAAATCTCACAAAAAAACCAAAAATTGAGTTGCACCATTAATTTGAGTTCTTTAGAGTTGCACCATTGGAGTGAAAATTGAATGAGTTGCTTCAAGATGATATGCCTTAATAAATCCAAAAAAAAAATTAAAAATTGAGTTGCACCATTAATTTGAGTTCTTTAGAGTTGCACCATTGGAGTGAAAATTGAATGAGTTGCTTCAAAATGATATGGCTTAATAAATCCAAAAAAAAATCAAAAATTGAGTTGCACATTGGAGGTACTCTAACCACAGTCACCTTTTTCTATTGTCTCTTTCTTCATCCGCGAGATTCCCAGATAAACAAGAACTCCACAACTTCCAGCAATCGATTTTTTTGGCTTCCGGTGGCGACAACCTGTTCGAGTTAAAGCTCTTCCAGCGGATGTACAGACGGAGGTGCACTGTGGATCTGGCCGTAGTCGGACATGGTAAGATCGGCGGCGGCCTGCGGTTTGGGATCGCGTTTCGGAGCTCACAGATCCGGTGGATGAGCATCGGAGGTCGATTCGCGGTTGAAGCGGGTTTGCGGTCTGGGGAGTGATGGTTCGGTGCGGCAGCGAGGTGATGCGTCGGAGATTGAAGCGGATGTGTGTGGTGGGATTGGGCGTCGCGCGGAGATTTGCATCTCGGTGGGCCTGTAGTTTCTTTTCCTTCCTCTCTTTTCCACCTTCTCCCTTACTCTAAAAGAAAATCAGTTAACAAAGAGAGGTATGAAAAATCTGAATGAAATACAATTGTCTTCCGGTGAGGGATACAATCGCGTTATTGTTCCTCCGTTAGTTTTAATCTGCAGTCAAAATTTGTAAACAGAGATGATTATTGAAACATAAGTGATTTACAAGAAATAAGAGTGGATTGGAGTTTTGTAGTTATGCCAATGAAATTGGAACCGTGAAACAGGAGGTGAATGAAAACATAATTGTGTTGTTGCTGTAAGTATTTGTTGTATGAATCATGCAGGATCTAAAAAAAATGAAAATAAATTCAAGTGTTTGACTGGAACAAAAAGTTTTCTTTGGGTGAGAATTGATTTTAAAAATGTAAAAATTTTTGTGTTCAAATGTTGTGGGACGTTGTTTAAGAATAATTTGAAAACAAACAACACCATTATATCATCTCATCAACTCGAGTGGTTGAAACACCAAAATTGAAGTTAAAGTTAGTACAGAGTTGAAAATATTAGGGAGAGTGGTAGTTAATAGACTCGTATGAATTTTATATAAGCAAAAGAATAAATAACTATAATTAAATTTATGTCGAGAAATTAATTGGCCTCAAGTTAAATTAATTTAGACACGAGATTATCTAATAACTAATTTGTTAATCATCGGCCAAGAACATCAATAGTAAAAGAGATTTTGAAAACAAGAAATTTAAAAGAAAAAATAAAACCAAAGTGTGAATCAGTCTAATTGTTCTTGGACTGTTGTCTCATAAAATCAGCAATCCTAGAATTTTGTGTGTTCGTGAATATTTCTGGATCTCTCCTCCCCCTTGTTAGGACAACAATGAGTCCTATTTAGAGAGCAAAATTAGGTTAAAACTTGGGAGAAAGTTCGCCCAAAGTGAATAAAAGGCCAAAATTAAATTTTATCTATTTATAACTTATTTTGACTATTTTTTAAATAAAATAAATATTTTAATAAAAAATAATATTTTCAAAATATAATAAATAAATAAATACGAAAATAACAATTTAATAATAAAAATATGATTTTTGTGGTTTAGAAAATGAAAATAAAGTTAGTAACAACAAAAATATCCAAAATACACGGAGTGAGATTCAAACTTGTGACCTTCTGCTTGTCAATATTTCTCCCTTACGAACTATGTTATGTTACTTATTCGAAAGTAAAATGCTAATTGAAAGTATGTGATAGCGAACAATTATTTTTTATTTTTTTACAAATAATACAAATAATTATTATATTTACAAACAAGACTTGAAAGCAAATTTTTTTTTTATAAAAAGTTCAGAATGTTAATATAATTAAATCAAAGGAATTTTATATCTGTAACACTCAAATTCGAAAATAAGTTTGACGGTAGCAATAAGGTGTGCAAATTTAATTTCAACCTCCCTTTTACCAACGACCATTTAACAATTTAGAATTTTACAATTACTCAATTAATTTCCATTTACGAATCGCATGGGCCAATGGCCAACATGTCTCGCGAATGGATTCACAGATACGCGAGTCTTTCTGATTTAGAAAGTCATGTTTTCCTGAATTAAAGATACACCCCTGATTGACTTAAATATTAAGAATGGGCCATCAGATATTGTTGTACCACCATTAGTTAAACGCTTCTTTATTATTCTAATCTTGGAAGATGAAATCATTGGGGGTAGGACAAATTTGGGTTACGACACATCCTGTTTGAGAGAAACATCAGTCAAGCACGTTGAGAAAAATAAATTCTCAACACAAAGATGTCAAGATATTATATCTGAGATCTCAAGAATCTCCAACTCCAGACTAAGGATTCTTCTTCAACAACTGCTATGAACATCTTGATAATGATACATTCTCCTCCTTAGTAGAAGTACAAAATGTTGTTAGTGCACACCCACACAAATCTTTCTCTGATGTAACAAACATTGTTCCACTTGAACATGATCACATGCATATGGATTCTTTGAATAGATGACAGAGAGAATGTTCTTTCCATATTAACTTGACCTCCATAAAACAAGAAACCTGGCTGAGATAACACAACTCTACTAGACACTCGAGCTCAGCCTCTTCAATTCAACTAACTTGGATCATAATTAAACTAAACGAAGAAGTAACTGTTAGAACATAGTTTGATTCTACAACCCTCAGTTAGAGTTTTGATGATAACAAAATACAAGATTAAATGAATTATGAGATTTATATAAGACATATGTGCTACTCAAAATTATGCTGTGTATTTGCAGGAAACTCTGATGGAATCAGCATCAGAATATCAATATCAGCATTAGAAGATATGTCAACACCAGAAGATCAAAGCATGTGCTTACGCTGAAGCCTGATGAACAGAATCTGCGCTTAACATACTCTGACTCTGATCAAGAACCTAACCATGTCATCAGCACTCAGAAACGCCATAATAAGCTAAATCCAAGAACACTCTGATGTGTCAACGTTACTGCATTCAAGGCAGATTAATTACTAACGGCTTTATTCCAAGACAAAGATCTTCTCAAAATGGAAAGAACGTTATGAGCATTGAAATATAATTATGGACAGCAACGTATCTATTCCAAGGTTATTTAAACAAATCAGTGAGAAAAGAAATGGCTAATACTCTACAATTCTCCTACACGCATAAGCCAATCATCTTCGTCCTCACTCATTCAGTTTGCTAAAGCTCTCAACTGCTTACTCTATAGTTCTAGCATTCTAGTTTCATATAAGCTTCATTTGTGTATTATCACAGTTGTGATATATAGTTTTTCTAGAAACATCAAACACATTTGTTCATTTATCTGTAAAAGAATTTCCTTGAGAAACCGGTCTGTGGTTAGACTCAAGAAGGCTTTAGCAGTTGTTAAAGCAGTTTTGTATTCAGTTGAATATAGTGGATTAAGACCTCGTTGGAGAGAGGCGAAATCACCTTGACGGGTGGACTGGAGTAGTTTGAGATCAAACGAACCAGGATAAAAATAACGTGTTGTCTGCATTAGATTTCAAGTTTCAACAATTCAACCCCCCTTCTTGTGTTTTTCACTTCTTCAATTGGCATCAGAGCGCCTGGTTCTGAGTTCATAACACTTAACCGTGTCAGTACAAGATCCAACGTTGAAAAACACTATGGCAGGAACACATCACAACATCAGCAATGACAACAATGAAGAAAGAGACAGATTCAGTGGCAAACCTCCAGTCTTTGATGGAGAGAACTTTGATTACTAGAAAGACAGAATTAAAAGCTTCTTTCTGGCCCACGATGCTGATCTGTGGGATATGGTGACTGATGGATACACGTACCCAGTGAATGCAATTGGTCAGAAGATTGACAGGAAAGCAATGTCTGATCATCAAAAGTGTGATTTCAGAAATCATCACAAAGCAAGAACTATTCTTCTCAGCGCCATCTCTTACTCTGAATATGAAAAGATATCAAACAGAGACACTGCGAAGAATATGTTTGACTCTCTGAGAATGACGCATGAAGGAAACCTTCAAGTTAAAGAAACTAAAGCTCTTGCGCTCATTCAGAAGTATGAGGCATTCAAGATGGAATAAAGTGAATCTATTGAAACAATGTTCTCAAGATTTCAGATTCTGGTTGATGGTCTCAAAGTTCTGGACAAAGGGTATTCTACTGCTGATCATGTTAAGAAGATCACCAGAAGCTTGCCAAAACAGTGGAGGCCAATGGTCACAGCGCTGAAGCTAGCTAAGGATCTCAATACAATCTCTCTGGAGGAACTTGTCAGCTCCCTCAGAAGTCACGAGATATAGCTAGAAGCTGATGAACCTCAAAGGCAAGGTAAGCCATTAGCTTTAAAATCTAACAGAAAATCTGACTCCAAGGTTTTACAGGCTGTTGAAGAAACCTCTGATGGGTCCTCATCAGAAGAAGATGAACTATATCTCCTCTCCAGAAGGGTAAACCAACTGTGGAAGCAGAGGCAAAGAAAGTTCAGGAATCCCATAAGATCAGAGAATCAGAATGAATCCTCCTCCAGATACAGAAGGTCAGAACCCTCCTCTGGATACAGAAGATCTGAAGGCTCTTCAGGAAGCAGAAAGCCAACCAACAAAGACATCATCTGCTATGAATGTAACGAGCAAGGACACTACAAGAGTGATTGCCCAAAGCTTCAGAGGGAAAAGCCCAAAAAGAAGTTTGGCAAGGAAAAGAAGAAAAGTCTCATGGCTACATGGGATGACTCTAACACATCTGAAGCTGACTCAGAATCAGATGATGAGAGAGAAAACATAGCTCTCATGGCTAACATAACAGAAGACAGTGAAGCTTCTGAATCAGACTCTAAATCAGACACAGAAGAGGTATTTCCTGACTTTGCTATTAATTTTACTAAGGCTGAACTAGCTGAAAGCCTTAATGAGATTCTGGAAAGATATCAGCAGATCAGAGTCAAATTCAGAAACCTGAAAAGGGATCTTGTTTCTGACTCTGATAAAACTGAGAGTCTCAAATTGGAAAATTCTGAGTTGAAAGATAAAGTTTTAAAATTAGAAAATTTATTACAAAACTCTCAGAAGGAAACAATTCTTGAAACTCCCAATAGTGCTGATGAGATTATCAAGGAGTATGATCACAGGTTTCAGAAGTTTCTAGCTAAAAGTATAGATAGAAGCAAAATGGCTTCAATGATCTATGGAGTTAGCAGAAATGGCAGAAAAGGAATAGGATACCAAGGTAAGGTACCTACACCAAAGAATGCCATGGATTTAGTGATAAAACGCACTTCTCTTGATTCTCACTTGGTATATGGGCACACACACGATATCAAATATACTAGCAGTAATTATTCTGTCAAACCAAAATTCAACCAGAGTTTTGGTAAAACTAACAAATCAG